TATCCGAAGGTCTTAATTGAAAACCTAGGAGGTCACGGGGTCTCTGGACAGTATGTATAAACCTGTAAGGAAACTGATCTTTCCTCTGACAAAACCTCAGGGAGAGCTGCTCCTAGCCAGCTCAAACTCGGCTTGGTCTTCCTCTCACCTCTGATTCTACAGCCTTCTCCTCATACTTGTCTTAGCCTGGAGCTGCATGCCCCGAGGAGGCAGAATTGGGAGCGAGGATTACTAACGAGCAACTCACTTGCCCCACTTCTTCCACAAATTAAGTTCACTGCATTCCACTCGCAGCACTTAGCTATGTTTTCACTGGTTTTTTTGTTTGTTTGTTTGTTTTTTTCTTTGTTTTTCAAGCATAAGATTTATTTTATAAGCCTTTATCAAGTTATCATAAACACATACTAGTAGCAAGACTAACAGGTCAAAAAACATATAAAACAGGTACAACGTATCCAGTAGTTTTGGGCTTTCAGTGGACACCAGAGGAATTTTGGTTTTTGTTTTTTATTTTATTTTTCTTCTTCTTTACTAATTTGTTCCTTTTTGTTGTCTTTCACCTACATATTTATTCCAATCTATGCATCTTCTTTCCCCCTTCCTCAATTTATCTTTCTAGATTTAATCATATTTTCACATGAGTAAATAATCTCTGTAATTTTTCTGATTAGCTTCAATAATTCCTCACTTATTCTTTCATTCTTTCTCTTCTGCCCTCTTTTCTAGTTTCCAAAAGCTTGTATGACAATACATTTTCCTCAAGCTTTGCTTCTACTTTATTTCTTATCAGTTATTACTGATTTACCATGATCCTTCTTAAATTACCACACCACAAGGTAAAACCACTCTACCAAGCGGAACATACTTTGCATACAAGCTTATAATTTACAATTGGTTCTGTTATATAACTGTACATTTGTTCCTGTGGTTTAAGGTACAAAATTAATATTTACTACAGTTTGGCAGTTTTTAAGCTATTGTTATTCCTAATTGCTGTGTCTCTGTAGTTTTTGCCACTGTTTTTATTGCATTTGCTTTAAATTCATGGTTTTTAAAACTAGCTTGGATTTGAGATACACAATAAGTTCTACCACTTAAAAAGGATAAACATAGATATATTGACTTTATTCAGCTTTCACACGTATTGAGCCTCTGGCTTCAGACAATATTCTGACTGGCCCTCGCAGTGAGGAATCTGCCTCTATTTGGGCATGAACAAATTCAGTGTTGGGGTCAGGGGCTGTTTCACTCAGAAAGAGGCTCCGTGATTTCCCAGAGGTTAGATGAAATTTGTGTTTTCCTTGGTGGACCATGCTCTCTCTATGGCCGGAGACATTCCCCGGTCCTCTGACCCCTTCTCCCACAGGTCCTCCCTGCTGGTTGCTGGGACCTGACACTGGCTCAAGAGCTTGTAGAGCGATGTAGAGAAAAACTGATAAATAAATCCTTCAAAACCTACTATGTGCCAGAGACTCTGCTTGCTATACCCTTGCCTTGTCTCATTTAATTTCCTCACCAACCCCTTGAGGCAGTTGCCAATTTCCTCACTGTCAAGATGGAGACACAGGAGATTCCGAGAAGTTAGGCAAATGATCTCACAAAGCAGGAGGTGACGGAGACAGCAAGGAAACAGCTTATGTGCACTGCACAGCAAATGCCTTTGTGTTCCCCACGCTGGCCTTCGTGGACTTCGGTGGTCTGGGCACCCAAATGCCACACTCGGTTCAGGGTCTAGTCACTGAAAGAAGTCCCATGCTTTCCTCAAGTGAGGGACAATCAGATTGTCAGAGTGGAAAGAGACTTTGGACACAGGTATTTTCTAAACTCATGTGCTTTTCACCTCCCCCGTGGGAGTCTTGGTCTTGCAAAGGTGCCAAAGTTCCTCACTGCTGAGTGCCTGTTCCGCAGGGCGTTAAGGAGGCTTCTCCTTTCTAGAGACAGCTGTAATGATATCTTTTTGAGACATTAGCATTCCTTACTCCAGATCCATTGTTTCTTTATCCTCTTAATATAAACAGCACTGGCCATCCCTGATTTGAAAAGCAAGGGAGACTAATCCTGTGTGATAATGACTTTGAAGCAGCACCTCAAATCTGTAGGGACAGTGAGAACCCTGACTTTTCAGCTGTGGGCTCCTCACAGCTTGTGCTGCCCTCTTTTCACTATTCAGAGTTCCATCACTTTAGCCATTTGCTACTGTTTTTCTGGTAGGTTCAGGGAAATGTAAAAAGAAGATATATTTTCTGTATATGTTCAAAAATGTATAGAGAGGCTGGCAAGATAGCTCAGCGATCTAAAGCGCCTGCCCTCACGAGCTTAGGCAAGTGCACAGAAACCGGGATTTGATCCACATGTTGTGCCAGCTATGCTCCTAGGGTGGGCTGAGACAGACAGACAGACAGACAAACAGACAGACAGACACACACACACACACACACACACACACACACACACGCAAAAGAAATATAGAATTTTCATTTGCAACATATAGATGATATTACTTTATCTTCTTTTCCTCCCTGGGTTTTAAGCAAAATGTATAATTGATTTAAATCAAACTTAGCATATTTCTTGCAGAAAAACTAAAAGTTGAAATCTTGAGTAATCATGATTGGATTTTTTTTCCTCTACACTTAATGGCAACCAAGAGGCCAAGATGTTATAGGTGATTTGACTCTGGGGCAAGCAGTGGGTGTGCCGGGTTCTTCTTCCCCAAGGGCTGAGAGGCTTTCCGAAGAATCTCCCCTCTGAGAATGTAGATCTCCCTTCTTGGTGTGGAGGTGAAAGTGTGTGTTTCATGCCTGGATACCATTGTGCAGTTTTATAGTTCATTATTAAATGTCCATTACGTTTCAGCTCCAGGGTCATTTCATGCTCATTGGGCCTTCTCCCTGAATCCTCACAACCACCCCAATGATGAATTGTGACGTAGTGTGTAATATCTTCTCCACATGTCAGATAGGAAGCTGGGGTTCAGGCAGGCTGGTCTAATGATATCAGAGTTCAGCATAGCACCTTTTCTGGGAATGGGTTGGTGGAAGTTCTAGATGAGTCTAAAAGGGCCTTTGAATTTTATTCTAACAAAGATACCATGTTTGCATCCAGACATCTGTACAGTACTACTCATTGGATACTTAGTGTGCTCCAAATAATCTTGGAACTGAATTAAAGCACAGAAACCCCTGCTTCCCATAAGTTTATGCTTTGGCTATTGAGGGTTGGAGCAGAGGAAAGTTGTGATTGCTTAGGTTTGCAAAGGTTCATTTGGCTATCCTGTGCAGTGTCATCTGCAGAGTGGTGAGGGCTTGGGGATGAGACTTGTTTGGTGACAGTGGCAAAAGTCCAGACACCAGAAGGTGGGGCTCCAGCCAGAATACAGCAGATGTAAGACTGTGAGGGACATTCCAGTGGACCCAGGTGGAAATTGCCTCTCCGGGCTTTACTTGGAACTTGGGTCAGCCTGTGCCCTAACCTGTGATCTTTTAATACTGTCAAAATCCCCAAGTGTAAAGTAACTTCGGAACCTTTTCAGTTCAGAGGAAAATGTGGCTGCCTCCCTCTAGCAACATGGCACTGCACTTATGAGAGCAGGATGATCATGGGTGTCTGGAGATGGCAGGAAGGAGTTCCATGTCCCAGCCATGGCCACCCATCTGCCTCCTGCCTTTGAGCTTGAGTAGCAGCACGTGTGTGGTTGTAGCACAGCCCTACAGCGTGGCCATTTCAGAGCCACTAAAAGCACATTTCAGCCCTTACCGATGAATCTCCTGTGAGGAGGCCGGCAGGGAGTTCCTTTTAGTAAGATTTAAGTACAGCTTCACATTTATCTGCCTTTGCTATTTCTAAGAAAGGACATTATCAGGTCTGAATCAGGACAGATATTAATTCTTGGTGGCAAAGTAGCACTTTAATGCTACTGTTTTATTATGCTTTAATTTTGGAAGTTTCTTTGTATTAACTTTTACTGGGCAGATATGACCAAACATGATTTCCGACGTGCCAGACCTACTATTAAGTTTAATAACTTCCATGACTGACACTTCCCAATAAACGCATCCTAACTTGCAAATATCCAGTCACTTCCAAATAATTGCAACATGCATTTAATGCACCTGAGCTTGCCAACATGTGGCTTGGCTACACAGGGCATCGCAGAGCCTCTGCTCTTTCTCCTTGTGATCAGGTGGCTAACGGTAGCTGTGTCGAGCCTCCCCTGTCCAGTCTCACAAGAAAGATTCATACTGCACATTACTAGTCCAGGAAAAGATCGTAACTTGTATCTTGTTTTCTACTGACTGTGCACTGCTTTTATACCACTGTTAGTTTAAAAAAAAAAAAACTAGTAAATTGGGCCATCATAAGCCAGGACTGTCTATACACATTTGTTTATCACAAGTCAATGAAATGGATATAAGTTGTTAGTGAAGTAACAAAGTGAATGTCATCCCTAATCAGTTAGTTTTTGCCGACCTTTAGTGAATAACCTCATGTTTCCAAATAGAAGAAACTGCCCTTGGATAAGCACAAATGTTGCATCGTTTCTTAGTTACTGCAGTACTGACATGAGAAGGCAGCTGTACTTGTGAATGCAGACTAATTACCTCCCATAGTTTATTGTAAAATAGAATCAGGTGATTTGGTCCCAGTTACAATTTCTGCAAAACCTCAGGGTCTCCTTCAGTTCGTCCTAACTGCTCCTTCTTGGTATTACCTTGAATCACACTGAACTTGACCATCCATTGGGAATTCCTGCCAGGCCAGATCACCAGCTAAGGATGTGACTAGAGGCTCTCCATTCCCAACTTGGGGACTGTACTAGTCATAACCCCTTTCACCAGCCCTGTGGTTCCCCTTAGCTGTGTCAGCCATAACCTCAGGCAGGCAGTCTCGTGGCAAGAAAGGTATATTCTCCCTGCTGTCCACACTGCAGATGATGGGTGTTGCCATTAGAAAAAGCCCCAAATCAACTGACAGATCCTGTCTTTTATTATTTTTCCCAGGGTTACGTCCAAAGAGAACTCTGCGCCTTGTGCTGTGGACTGCAGAGGAACAAGGTGGGATTGGTGCCTTCCAGTATTATCAGTTGCACAAGGTAAAGACAACTGTTTGTATACACAGTATCAACAGCCAGTATACTGTCATTGATTGATGCTTTTGGTTCACAAATTGTTCCATATTAAGACACTCAATACTTTGTGGTCAGTTCACCCTGGCAAACACTTCTTATGTAACCCTCCTTTATCTACCCCTGCACATGAGAAAGGTCTGGTGAACTGAGGATTTTTGATTTGAAGCCAATGGTTCATCTCTTTATTTTATTTTATTTTTAATGTATTATGGGGAAGGGTCTAGAGGGTGTTCAGAGTCTCACTACTAGATCGGGCTCCTAGTGATCCTCCTGTTTACAGCCTCCCAAATGCTAGGATTACAGGGATGTCCCACCACACCCAGTCTCAATTGCCATCTCAGGGAGCCCTTGGGGCGGGACCAGCAAGGCAGGACTGGGGATTGAACCCCTAGACCCTGAGCCTGCTTGCAGGTGCTTTAATCCACTGAGCTATTGGCCTGCCCTAGACCAAACCAATTTCTTTTTCCTTTTATTTATTTATTTTTTATTTTTATTTTATTTTATTTTATTTTTGGTGGTGGTACTAGGAATTGAACTCAGGACCTTGTACTTCCAGGCAAGCACTTATTCTGCTGAGCTATCTCCCTGGCCCCCAGGTTCTTCTCTTTATACATCATACTTTGTGGTCTTAAAAATTCCCAACAGCATGCTGCCATTGTCTCAAAGTCTCTAGTTCTTCTGTATTCATGTATGCCCTACCAATAGTAATAGAAACCCTTTCCGTCTCCTTACTGAGCCCACCCCTATACTTGGCTGCACCAATCCTCTTAGAAGTGCTAGTGTTTGAGAGCCAAGTCCTGAGGCCTTGAGTCTACCAACAGCACTGCATTAAGCTGGTGGGCATCTAGTAGCTGGAGGTCTCAGACCTAGGAATGTGAAGAACTGGTTGGCTTGACCCTGAGCCTAATTAGGCAAGAGTAGCCCCTAAAGCAAGATGGCAACTGAGGAAGATCATGATTAAAAGCACAAGAGCATGTTTAATATGGGGTGGAGGAGGAAGACTAATGATGAGAGTAGACTTTGGGAGAGCAAAACATCCAAGTGCAAAAATGTTCTCAATCAACTCGAGTGTTAGTTCAAAGAGGGTCTCCCAGACAGTGGGTGTGCTGCTGAGCAGCAGTGTGCAGACAGGGGTGGGAGTCTGGCTACTGCGCTACTGGATTATGCTCCCTGAATTTACAGATGGAAGAAACATGCTCACACTATCCAAGTCACTGAGGGGTTCATTTCTTTTGTGACTTAAGTTTATATCTGTCTTGATCATTTTGTACAAGTCAGTCTCTGTGGTCCTATTTCAGTTAGTAGCAGCATGAATTCAGGGTCATGATTTCAGGCACTGAATATAATTATTTTTTGTACAAATGACAGCTATGATTTACACCCAGCTCTTTTGCTACTTCAGTTCTTTGGGTCCTAAGTGTTCCCAGGTATAAGAGAATTCAAAATAAGTATCCTCTGGTTGGTGGGTCAGTCACATCATCTTCTATATATGTGGTAGATCTAAACATCAGACAAGGATTATTCTGACTCTAGCAACATCCAGTGAACATCTTCAGAGTGCCTATGGTGGCCCACATACTGTGTTAGATCTTAGATCTAATGCCATTACAAAGATTCACTCTGACCTTATGGACGCTGAAATCTGAAGGATACTGATCACTAAACTTCCGTTACAATATAAGGTGTTGTTTCTTCCAGTTAAGATAATATTGCTGGCAGACTCAGGAGGTTCACCTAACCCAGTTTTGAAGGCCACACAGAATGTCATTTCTATGTGGAAGAAATGACAGCTAAGCCATGGCCTGAAGGTTGAGTAGAAGTCAGGGAAGGAAGATGAGTGGAAGGATGAGTCAGTCCGTCCCAGGGTAGGCCGAGGGAGCTGTGTGTGCAAAGGCTGGGGGACAGGGACTGTGCAGCACACCAAGGAATGGAATAGAGTTGCAGAGTGGCTGGTTCACAGAATGCAGGTGGGCAGTGGGTGAGGTAGGAGGGGTGAAAGGGAGCCCAAACAAGAACACACGAATCCTGTTTAGAAGCTTGTACTTCATCCTCAGGGCAAGAAAAGGAGGAGCTTTAAGATTCTATACATCTTGGACTTTATAAAAATGAAACACAATTCCCAAGAGAACTGTTCTAAAACTCTCTTATTCTCTATTCTAGACAAGGGGAAAAAATAGATTTCACTGCAATGGATCTAGCTTGAAAATTCTTTGCCACTCAAATTCCTAGGATCCAACAAAAATAAGATTGATTTCTCTATAAGGTTCTGATTGTCACTGTGGATTAATAAAAATGCAGGGATAAAATCATACATGACTTGATTTTAAACCTCTAAAAAGTTGAAAGATGTGTACACCCAGTCACACATGCAAAAGACACACAATCACATGAACAGAAATGGTTTACCTGACAATATCTGTGATGTCTTCATGCAAATGGTTTGACATAGTGGTAACTAATCCGCATTGCATTTTCAGTTAGAAACAAATAAATTCCAGGTAGGGAAAACATGGGCTTTTTGTTTTAGGGTAGCTCTTTATCTTCCCTTTAAAAAGACATTCAACATGTTTTACATGATTGAGCCTATTTCAAAGGACTTATTCTGGATTTTTAGGATTACCATATTGATAGAAGAATTTGCCAAGAGCACAATCATTTGGGGCTGGCTTAGTTGAACTCAAAACTTAATATATAAGCAAGTTACAAACTAGGAGGCAGGGAATGCATCAGATTGTCTTTGGATTTGTCTATATCATCATTGAATACCACAGACATCCCAACAGTGCCCAGTTCACTCTAGCCACAAAAGAAATCTTCTGTTGTAAAACAGGCAATGACAACTGCTGAAACAAGTAAGCCCACAAATTTCAGCGACCTCACATAACAGAATTTCATTCCTGCTCACCCACCCTCCAGTAGGGGTCTGCTCCATATGGTTATTTGTGGATACAGGTTGACAGACTCTTGGCAACAGGGGTATTTTCAGGCCTTGGCCACCACCATCTAGCTGGCAGGCAAGGACAGAGTGGGAGGTCTTTTGTGGGCTAGTTCTGGAAGTGGCTTCCATCATGTCTTAGTTAATCTTCTTGTCACTGAGGCAAAATATGTGACACCCAGTATTAAAGTAGGAAAGGTTTGTTTAGGATTTTAGCTCTCAGTTCATGGTGGTTTGAATTCCGAGTTGGCTGGCTGTAAGGCGAGGTGACATGGCAGATAAGCACTGTAGGGAGACACAGTCCATGGCAGGCAGCACTCATACCCTTGATGCTGAATCAATTCTAACATCACCCAATCTACATGTAAAAGAGCATTTTACTTCATTTTTATTTTTCTGGACAAATGGACTATAGATAAACATTTGGGTTGCTTCCAGTTTTAACTATTGTTAGTGCAGGGTCTATAGGGTCTTACTACACAGATCAGACTCATAGTGATCCTGCTGTTTTCAGCCTCTCAAATTCTAGGATTACAGGTGTCCACTACCACACCAGTCTCCGTCACCATCTCAGCATGTCCCACGTGCAGGGCTGGCACGGCATGCCAAGGGTACGGGATGTTTAACTTGTGTCAGAATCTGCCTAAGAGATGGAAGCTTTTATCATCTTGTATTCCCAACCTGGCTAGCTCAGTCAGCAGAGCATGAGATTCTATCACTTTTCTTTCCCAGAGCAACATATAGTAGTTCTTGTTTCTCTCCATCCTTCTGAATACATGGCATTAAGGCCTTTCTACTTTAGACTATTCTTTCAAATGTCATGTTTATATGTTTTTCAAGGTATAGCTTTAAAGAGTTGTAAGAAAAGACCTGCCTTGATTTTAATGGTCACTATGCTTTCTTCTCCCCTGACTCCCTGCTATGAGACCATCTTGTTTCTCATGCGCTGCTTATGATTTAAGTGGGACTGAAGGCTTTCTTACCCTGTATGATGTGTGGGTTCAGTTAGCGGTTGGAATGGCCCTGTTTCCTTCAGAGAAGCACCTTGACAACAGTAGGACATAGAAATGTCATCCTGTTGGAGTCACAGCTGGCTCCCAGGGACACTGCCTGGGTTGCTGGAGTGTAGCTGGAGCCACGAGTGGAAAATGATTCCCACCAGGGCTTGAGAGGTGGTGGGCAATTTCTCTTATCCTTATCAAGGAGATTATGCTAAAGGGGATAAGAAAGACTGCAGAAAATACCTCTGTTAATCTCTATTGATTTAAAAATATGAACTCCTGTATTGGCTGAATTCAGCTTGTATTCACTTAGAAAGAAATATCACCACAGAGAGAAACATGCTATTGTAAATAAGAGTTTACTTATGGAAATAGAATTCAACTTTGGAATTAAAAATCATTATAGATGGTGTTATTGAATTTCCGAGCCAGTGAATAAGATGAGTTGTCCAGATGCCGTTAGGAACAATGTGACTTGCTCTTCTTCTGTTGGAAGAAGAGCAGAATATCATTTCTCATGTCCTGAAATGTACAAAGGAGAGGGGAAAGCCCTAAATTAGTTTTGACTGAATTTCTGGCATTTTAAAATCTTTTCCATTTTAAGCAAAAATATGATCTGGCGTAATTATAATGAGTAAGGTAATCTGGCCTGGAGAAGGCCTCATTACCCAAGGTAATCAAATAAAATAGATTGATACATTCTACTCTGGCATGAAAAATATTTTAACCTTTTTCTGATTTATTACACAAACTTCTGGCAATTGAATTACATGGATAATGAACACTGCTGTGTTCTGGTAGTCATTAATAAGAGCAATATTTTAAATAGGTTTTATTAAATGAGGGATGGGATGGATGATCATTCTAAATACATCAGTTGGTTAGAATTCCTGCCAACTTGAAAACAAAAAAAAGCTAAAATGACAAGGTACATTATTTTCTTATAATTTCTTGTGTTGCCAATGCTGAGGGACAAAATTTCCACTTCACTATATAAATATATCAAAAATGTTAGCTACTTTTAGGAG